AGTGCAAAGTGTTAACACACTTGGCTGCTAACCCCCAAAATCTTGAAGTTCAAGTTAACCTAGAGGCATCTTAGAAGAAAGGCTTGGCAATCTACTTGTGAAAAATCAGCCAATGAAAACCTTAGGGACCTCAGTTATCGCAAACATGGGGTCACCATGAGTTGGAAGTAACTCAATGGCAACTAGATTTTGACAAGAATTGCCATAAGTTTTTAGCATTTTCTAACTCCTAAAGGGAGCTCTCTGGGAGCTCTGGTAGTGTAGTGCCTAAGGCACTTGACTGCTAACCAGAAGGCTGGTGGTTCAAACCCATCAGCCACTCCTCAGAAGGAAAACGGGGCAATCTAATTCTGTAGTGATACTGCATCAGAAACCCAAGGAAGGGCTGCTATAAGTTGGATTGGACTCGATGGCACATAATTACAACAACAACAAAGGGAGCTTTGGCAGCGTAGTCCCTAAGGCACTTGACTGCTAATCAGAAGGCTGGTGGTTCAAACCCACCAGCCACTCCTTGGAAGGAAGATGGGGCAATCAACTTCCAAAGTGATACTGCCTCAGAAACCCAAGGAGGGGTCACTATGAGTTGGGTCCGACTCAATGGAACATAAGAACACAACACAACAACTCCTAAAATTCCTGACTAAAGCCCTCCTATCAATTACTCCCATGTCTATTTCAGTTAATGTAGACACTGCATCCTTGGACTAGATTAGCAGGAGTGTTAAGACCCCACTAATGAGTCAACTCAATGCTCTCTCCAAGAGGATATGGACTTTCTCCTTTTTTTATCCACCACTGTATCCTCAGATCCTGGAAACAAGGCCAGGTACAAAGGAAATAATGTGACAAATATTTGTTACATTCATTCATAGATTCAATTTAGGATTACTATTTCATAGGTCCCTTTACATAATATAAAGTTCTACTATGTATGTGGTTTCTCTAATCTTTATACTAAGGAGCTCTGGTGGTGTAATGGTTAAGGCATTTGGCTGTGAACCCACCAGCTGCTCCACAAAAGAAAGTTGGGGTGCTCTGATTCCGTAAAGATTTCCAACTGATTTTTGTTACTTTGTGCTGCTTTAACAGAAAATACCACAAATGGGTGGCTTTAACAAAGTTTGTTTTCTCACAGTTTAGGAGGCTAGAAGTCCAAGTTCAAAGTGCCAGGCTCTAGGGGCTGAGTGAAAGCTACTTGATCTTGGGCTACAGTTCTAGTTCTTGCTCCCAGCCCACTAAAGCTGGAGACTTTTCTTAACTCAGGCAGCTGATGGTTGCTGAGGCTGACAAACCCAAGGTCGACAAATAAAAGGCACAGTCCTCAAATTACCGAACAACACAGCAGGCAACTAGTTCAACTCCAGAGACAGTCCCAAGATCAGCAGGAAACACGGCAGGCTGCTGAATGAAGACGAGGCTACATGCAGGTAATCCCTGCTGTTGAGTTGGTCCTGACTCATAGTGACTGCTCCTTGGCTTTCCAAGGTGGTATCTCTACTGAAGATTGTGCAACCTTCCTTCCGAGGAGTGGCTGGTGGGTTTGAACCACCAGCCTTCTGGTTAGC